GTTCAGATTTAGATATAGCTCCCATATATATTTTCGTCCAATTTAAGGTAAATGGTGTACAAAAGTCCCTATATATCTTTCGATTTACGCAAAATCTGGCATAGCGTACTGAATTAAGTCTAGGATGATGTGTGCAAATTTCGTGAAAATCGGTACAGATTTAGATATAGCTCCCATATATATCTTCGTCCGATTCAAGGTAAATGGTGTCCCAAAGTCCCTATATGTCTTTCGATTTGCACGAAATTTGGCACAGCGTAATGAATAAGGTCTAGAATGATGGGAGTTAAGTTTCATATAGCTCCCATATATAGTTTCGTCCGATTTCATGTAAATGGTGCCCCAAAGTCCCTATATATCTTCCATATATATTTTCGCCCGATTATAAGTAAATTGGGCATCAAACTCTTCATGTTAGTCAGATTGACATCAAAGTTTGCACATCGTACAAAGTTGAGCATAAAATTATGTATTTGCGTTTTCTAGAAGTACAGACATAGCCCAACGGATGACCTATTTATATTTGTTTGAAGTCGATTTACATACTTTATAGATAGATCTGAGTAGATTCACATTTAGATAAATATCACATATTTTATTTCATCCAATTTTATGCTAATAGTCCTGTTTAATATACCCATAGTGGTGAAGGGTATCATATAGTCGGCCTCGTCCAACTTTACTACTTTCCTTACTGGTTTATATTAAAATAGTTATCTGATTTCTTCCGCGTTTTGTGTTTGGTTCTAAGACTCTGTTGTAATCATTTCACCTGCGGAGGATAGCGAGGTAAAAAATTAGAACGTAAGGTTTGATAATGAACTTTAGCAGCATTTAGACCAGGCCCTGTGTGGAGGTTCCAGAAGGAGTGGACCGATATTCCCCATCTTCCAACTTTAACTAAGTTTGGAAGAAATAATAAGATGGGCAAAGTTTGAATGAAATATAAGTTTTTTGAAACGGATTTGGTCCAAAGAAACTTGGGGTCTAGAACCAATATTTCGATGAGGCACATTTTCAACGTGTTAAAGTGTATACACCCTCATTAGCCATAAGGCAGAGAATATATGTATCCATAAAATATTTCTAAAATTTTAATTATGGTTTACATAATCCATTTTTAGAAATGTCGGCACAGGTCCACTTTTTGATATATTCCCTATATGTTCATGTCTAGTACCTGTCAGTATATCTGGAGGGTATCCAAAGTTCGGCCCGGCCAAACTTAACTCTTTTTCACTTGTTTAAAGTTTCATATTGATTTTTTGTGCATCATTTTTATGAAATCGGCAGGCATTCATCCTGTATTTTTATAGACATTACTTACTGGTTAACTTTGGATTAAATCGTAAAACAAATATTACAACAATTCTATAACTTGATTTTTAAATAAATTTAGTTTTTGTTTATAAGGAAAAACGCTTTTGTCTTAAGTCTTTTGTTTAACTGAAGTATTCCTTAACATCGATATATTTCATAACCAATATCATAACAAAATCATAACATTTCTAATCACAAATAAAATATCTAAAATATTGCCAATATTTAAGAGGGTATAAAAATACAAAAATTTCATGCTTCTATAAAAAATGCTTAAGCTATAATGGAATATTTTTTGAGGTTATAAAGAAACCACAAAAATGTTGTTTCATTTTGGTTGTTTTTTTTTTCATTCTTTCAACATAAAACAAAATGCATAATACATAGATACCGTAGATACAAAAATATATATGTATACGAAAAAAAATTAAAGGTGTATATAAAAGGCGTTGTAAATATGTACCGCTGTATAGTTTACAAAAACAAACCGAAAAAAATTGGTTGATATTTTGCTAATAAGCCAGCACTGCCAATGCTGTTGGCAGCAACAAGTGAAGTAAAGACAAAAACAAAAAATGCAACAGCGTTAAAGGTAAATGTTGCCGTTGCTGTTGTTGTTGCAGTTACCGCCTTTTGGTGTTTCGCTGGCTTGATAATAGTTACTGTAACATTTAGCCACCATCATCATCATTACCAACATTGCAACAACAAAAGAAGTTTTTTTTCTGAACGGCAACAACCATCAGTGGATGACCTTGCAACCGTTGCACTCGCATAATCCTCTGCACTCTGGCTAACTGTTGAGGTGCATTAAGTAGACAACGATTGTTTTTTTTTCATTTTTTTTTTTTTTTTTGGTTAATTTTTGTTTTTGTGTGTTTTTATGAATTTTTGTTGTTGTTGCGATTATATTTTTGAGAGTGTTGTTGTTGTGTTTTGTACAAAAAGTTTTATACCATTTGCGGATTGTGTGCTAAACGAGCCTGGTGTATTAAATAATGATGCCATGGTGTGGTTTTTCAGCAGGTTTCTGCTTCAATGATGATGATGATCTTGTGAATTTTCAGTTTTTTTTTTAACTTTCAAAGTTGCGGTTTGTTTAGAGGGGCTTTTTTTGACCAAAAATTTTTAGAACTGGTAATGAGAAAAATGTTATTTTTAGTCGAATAAAAAGCATGATACATAATCTTGATGAAGTCAATTTGTATATACTCCATTGTAAGAAACCCCATAAAGTAGTATTCTTGAGAATAAAACTCTATGTCGATTTATCCATGCACATTAGTCTGTTGAAATCAGACTTATCAATAACGAAAAAATTATACGTAGATCAATAACCGTGGTACATTTGTACCCATCCAAAGATAGCTCTGTAATGCATAAAAAAATTGGACTATCGTGAGATTTTTTGTCTTAAATTAGTCTATACGAATCTGGTCTTGATGTAGGAACTCGAAATTATATATACATTAAAATAATATATATTTAAATCCATTTTTAAATGATAATCTATCTAAAATAATCCTAGTAAATTCGTTATAGCTTTCGAATGGGTTAAGCTTTTGTAGTTACAAGGGAAAACCAACGTAGTTTCTGAATTCCACGAGTCGCCCTGATGGCCCCATGTTGTCTAGGGTCACAAAAATTTGCAGCGGGGTTGGGGAACACCTAAATAAGATCCCAAAAAAAACCAGTAAGGAAAGTAGTATAGTCGGACTGGGACGACTATATGATACCCTTCACCACTTTGGGTATATTCGACACATGTATCCTAACAGACGACGCGTTTTTGTTATATATCTATATCTGAACCGATTTCAGGGAAAATTGCCAGAGACTAATATATATTACTTCAGTAGGTTGTGTCAACCTATGGATCTTTTCACGAAGCTTAGCAACATCATTCTAGACTTAATTCAGTACGCTATGACAAATTTCGTATAAATCGATGATTTTCAGAGACTTTGGTGCACCAATTACCTAAAATCTGATGAAAATATATATGGGAGCTATATATAAATCTGAACCGATTTTCACGAAACTTTGCCACATCATTCTAGACTTACTTCAGAACGCTATGGGAAAATTCGTGCAAATTAAAAGATATACAGGGACTTTGGTGCACCAATTACCAATTCTAAATCTGAACCGATTTTCATGAAACTTAGCACACATTATTATAGACGCAATTCAGTACGCTATGCCAAATTTCGTGCACCAAATGGAATGGAAGCTATATCTAAATCTGAACCGATTTTCACGAAACTTTGCATAGATCATTCTAGACTTAATTTAGTAAGCTATATCAAAATTCGAGCAAATCAAAAGATTTGCAGTGACTTTAGTGGACTATTTACCTAAAATCGGGCGAAGCTATATATGGGGGCTATATCTAAATCGGAACCGATTTTCACGAAACTTTGCACACATCATTCTAGACTTAATCTAGTATGCTATGCCAAATTTCGTGCAAATCGAATGATATATAGGGTCTTTTTTACACAATTTACCTTAAATCGGACGAAGATATATATATGGGAGCTATATCTAAATCTGAACCGATTTACACGAAATTTGGCGGACATCATGATATACCTTATTCATTACGCTGTGCCAAATTTCGTGCAAATCGAAAGATATATAGGGACATTGGTACACCATTTACCTCACATCGGACGAAAATATATATGGGAGCTATATCTAAATCTGAACCGATCTCTCCCAATTTCTATAGGGTTCGTCCATGGGCCAAACAAATGAGCTTTGCCAAATTTCATCCAATACGGATCATAAATGCGACCTGTACTTTGTTTACAATTTAACATGGACAGACGGATGTACGGACATGCATAAATCGACTCAGAAAGTGATTCTATGCATATTCTCAAAAAGAACCATGGGTCTATCTCGATTATTTTTGCCTGTTACAAACATATGCACAAAGACATAATACACTGTACCACAGTGTGGTGAAGGGTATAAATAGAGAAAAAAGTTCTTCGACTTTGGTTTACCTCTTCATGGAAATGCCTACATATGTAGCCATAGTTCCCCGATCTTAGCTATTATATTTTATAGTTCTGTCGATAATTTAAACTAGAAATGGGTTTCAAATTGTTTTCACTTTCATTCGTCTTTAAGTGGCCAAGAATATTGATTGTGATCATAAAGACTTTTTTCTGCTTATAATAAATCTCCATATTATGTGCTACACATTGCAATCTCTATATATAAAAAAAATCTCTACAAATATTTCAAAATTTTTTATGTCACATCATAATGCCATTAACCAAGACATTGAATACAAATCTACCGCAAATGAAAAAACAAATAATGTTTATTTCTTATGCAATCAATATTTAAGTTTTATGTTAAAAATAAAAAAATTAACAAAATTTTAATGGCAAACAAATTAAAAACTCAAATGACAGACATTCTTATTTCATTACCACAACGACAACAATAAATGTGTTTTGTGGTAGACGAAGCAATTTGTGGCAAATGAATGAAGAAAAAAAAATCATTTCACAGCTAAAGTCATAAAGTTTATGTGATTCACACGACACATCGGACTAATGTTTCTTTTTGTGGAACGATTATTATTTGTTGTCTAGTTTCTCTTTAGAAACTCGATATTAATAAGTTAATAATTATTTTATGTTGTTTTTTGTTACTTTCAGAATCGGTTTATGTGGCTTCGATAATCCAATGCGTGATCAGAAAACAGAAGAATTTAAAAAACACATTGGCCAGGTAAGTTATTGAAATAAAATATGGCATATAATAATTATGTGAAGTGAGATGGAGTCATGACAATCTACAATATTTTGTAATTTATATAAACATGTGAAATATCATATTTTATAGAAACATGTTGAATATCATATATAATAGACTCAATTGAGATGTAGTAAGGTACATTGGTGTCGGATATTTTGTTCAATAAGACGTTGTTAATTCGTACATTCTGCTGCAAAAATCAACCCACGTGTAGGGTATTAAGAACGAAACCCAAGCTAGTCTTAAATTCTTCATTTCACTTCCCACAAAAAAAAAAAACCCCAAAACTCAAATTAAACCCCATTAATAACTGCCAACATGCTAGATAAGCTTACCGAACAAGCTAACAACACCCACACCACACCCACCCCAACAACAAACATGTTTTGTCACACGTTCATACTGATTCCGCTGGTCATTAGTTGACACAAAAAATTAAGTTTTAATTAAAAATAAATCATTTTTAGAGTGCGATTTCTAGCATTGAAGCTGTCTAATACCATAAGCATGCGAATCAATCTCAATCATAATGTGACGCCATATCATATCAATCTTGATCCATATTAACAATAAATTCTAACCGCTGGCGTCAATTTCAATTTCCTTTATATGGTTGTGGAGACTGATCGATAGGAAAATTTAGAATATTTTTTTGTTGGTTAATGGCGTAACATAATTTTAGTTTTTGTTTTTTTAATATTTATTGAGGTTTTCACCATTTTTGGTGTATGGTCATTTTACATTTTTGTTTTTTCAAATAATTTGATAAATTACTTGATGATATTCAAGCCGATATTAAGGCCATAATGTTCAAGGAAACAGTTATGTGCATATGTATGTTCTTCTGTTCTTTTTTATTTATTCCCAGACTGGGTATAATATGAGTTATGCGACAAAAAATGACCGTCGAATCTGTTGTAATTAATAATATATAAATTTTTCATAAGAATATTAATCGTATAAAAATATATTTTCATGTGAGAAACAATTTTTTGTTATACCGTTTGCAGAATATACCAAAAAAAGATCGACCTACGGGTAGTTTTGGGCACATGTTTCTACCAAATTGGTTGTTATTTCGACGCCTCCGAACCATAGTATGCTAAGTCGACTTAGCGTGTTTTAAAGTTCTTTACGTTTTTAGATACTACGGTCCTTAATTTATATTCTCTGAAATTTTGGTAATCATCGGCCAATCCAAACCAAAGTTATAAGCAAAAATGTACTTATCATGGCACGTACGATTAAAGAAATTTCCATACTTTGAAAGCTTCTACTGAAAAACTCACTTTTCAGACTTAGCATACTATGGTTCGGAGGCGTCGATTTGTTATTTTGGGTAGTGGTATGGTAGTAAATTTTCCTACTAAAAATTATAAATATAGGTCCATATTTTAGGGAAGCCCCCACATAACCTGTAACCCAAAGATCTATATTTTAAGAAAATGTCCCCTCTTGGTTTGCCAAATCTTTCTACTGAACATGATCAGTATTGGTTCATTTCTTAGGTTATTCCCCATAATACGCTTCATCCAAAAATTTCGTTATCTTTGGGGTTTTGGACATGTGATTTAACCAACTTGGGGCAGGCGTTTGCTGTGAAAGGTTAGGCCTTGAGTTAACCTACAAGCTGGATAGCAACTGCATTGTTTTCCAAGCTGAAATCTTCGCGATCTGGAAGGCAGCGGAATTGATAAAAAGTCTGGATGCTACTATTTCCCTGGTCTCTTCACTTCGCTGTATCTCTTCTTGTGGTTAATCACAACGGACCTAATCGATCTCAGAGTGTTGCAGTCACACATGTGACTGCACATCCAAACCTAACCTAACCTAACCAACTTGGCTGCAATTTTATATTTATTATTTTCAATAAGTAGAAAATCTACCCACCAAAAATGATCAATATTGGACCCAGTTTCGGAAGGCATAAATATATACAGAAACTGATCAATATATGTCAATATTTTGAAAGAGCCCCCTTAGAAGAGTAGCGATCCATTGTCAGTGTTTTAAATGTTTTAGCTTTCTTTCCCCATTGTAGTGGTTGCAATTTGATATTCCGATGTATTGGAAGTAAATCATACTTTTTTAATTTTTTCATCGAAGTGACTATAATTTGCCATATCGGATTATTGGTTAATTAAAAACGTCTAGTTAGAGATTATGCGATATTGGATATATTGTTAAATAGCCCCATATAAATTTCTCGCTTGTTATACCCTTCACCACTATGTGGTACAGGGTGCATATGCTTGTAACAGGCAAAAGGAATCGAGATAGACACATGGTTCCTTTTCAGAATATACATAGAATCACTTTATGAGTCGAACAAGTACAGGTCGCATTTATGATCCGATTTGGATGAAATTTGGCACATATCACTTATTTCACCCAAGGACGAACCCTATAGAAATTGGAGAAAATCGGTTCAGATTTAGATTTAGCTCCCATAGTTTCGTCCGATTTTATGTAAATGGTGCACCAAACTCCCAATATTGGTCCGATTGGGACAAAATTTTGTACAGAGTAGTGAATTACATATATTCCAAGTTTTGTTGAAATCGGTTCAGATTTTGATATCGATCTCATATATAGTTTCGTCCGATTTTATGTTAATGGAGCACCAAAGTCCCTATATTTCCTTGGATTAGCATAAAATTTGGCGTAACGTACTAAATAAGGTCTAGCTAGAATGATGTGTATTACATTTCGTGAATATCAGTTCAGATTTAGATATAATTCCCATATATATTTTCGTCCAATTTCATGTAAATGGTGCACCAAAGTCCCTATATATCATACGATTTTCACGAAATTTGGCATAGCGTACTGAATTGAGACTAGAATGATGGATCCTAAGTTTCACGAAAATCGATTCAGATTTATATATAGCTCCCATATATATTTTCGTCCGATTTAATGTAAATGATGTATCAAAGTTTGTGTATATCATTCGATTTGGAAGAAATCTGGCATAGCGTAATGAATTAGGTCTAGATTGACGTGCGTTAGGTTTCATGAATATCGCTTCAGATTTATATATAGCTCCCATATATATTTTAGTTCGATTTAATGTAAATTGTACACTAAAGACCTAAAGTTTGTCCGATTGACACACAATTTTGTATAATGTAATATAAATTAATCTCTTGTAAGTGTTGAAATCGGTTCAGATTTAGATATAGCTCCCACATATATTCGTCTTCACAATGTATCAAATTGAGACCAGAATGACGTTATTGCATTTTTGAAAGAGGTGCATATGCAGATATAGCTTCCATTCATATTTCGAACGGATGTCTGATTCGGATTAAATTTTTAGTAGTGCGACATACTGAATATCGTGCACCAAGTTTGCTTTAAATCGCTTTAGTCCCATTCTACACAATCGACTGTAAATCTGCCCGAATGAAATTTAGCTTAGGTTGCAGAAAGGCATGTTTATGGGTTTATGTTAGTCCGTTCACTTATAGGTTCACGATGATGAATCAGTCAGTCAGTCAATCACTTTACTATTATATATACATATAATAGTAAAGTATATTATATATATATATATATATATATATTTATATAGATTTCTCTTGTGCAGTGACTTATACAAGAATTTATGGAGAATATTTTTGTCCTTTATGCCATCCTTATAAAACGACACCTAGCGGGAACATTTGGTACGAACTCGGAATAAGATAGATTTTAACCCAACAATGAAATTTCATCTTTTTAAGATTTTCCAGTTTTTGGTCTATTCTGAGACTTATAGTAAAACTTTATGGCGATAATTTTTCTGGAATGTTCTGACCTGCTATGACCCGTTTTAAATGAGATTACAATCATTTCTGGTAAAGGGGGCTGAAAAGACGCTTTCAAGGAGTAGACTGAAGGTTTACGTACTAGACAAAAATATTCCGCACATTTATATCTTTAATATTGTCGAAGACGCCATATAACTAAAATGCAAGGATTTCGAGAAATCTTAATCCGAATATTTTCAAATGTCTTAGAAGTGGGAAATATTGACATGTCTTTTGAGGTTACCTCCCGATGTAAACTTCCAAAATGTCAACACACGTGTCTTCTGTTTTTATCCCCTCTATAATCATTTTTTTGGAATTTCCCAATAATTAAAAACTTGAAATTTGCACAGTGTAATCAGGGAAGACAACAGGAAACAGATTATTTTACGGCCTGTATTTATAAGGCTCTGTACTGATGACATTAATGATCTGTTCTCTTCAAAATATAAATGGGAGGGGATTCCCTTCAAGGAAGCCCAGTATTTTTTCAGATTATTCAATAACTTCATATGGGTCAAATTCAAATTCAAAATTTTTCATTACATGACAACAGAAATGTATGTTCGGATTTAAATGCTAGTATATGATCGATAGCAAATATCGACTATAGCAAACTATGTCGATATATGTATTCATATATCTGAGGTATTTTTTACTAACTTTATTATAATTTTGTTTTCCTTACAGGGTGTCAAAATTAAAATGGACGATGCTGGCAATATCTTAATACGACGTTATGCCAAAAGTAATGTTTATATCAAAAGTACGGCTAGCAGTCCAAATGAGGAGACATCGATTGGAGCCGATATTTTGAAATTGCCCAATCAGGCATTGGAAAGTGAAAAAATAGTCAAAGTAAGTAGGCAAACCAAGATTCTCACACCAGATCCTCACAAAAGGTAGCCTTCCTTAGAAAATCCTTCAATAAAATTGTACTTCTGTCACCTGTCATTTTTACATCTCATCCATA